ACCATATAAACTGCAAAATCAAGCTAAAGCAAAGAGATGCTGATCACCACTAATCTGCCTACATTTATTTCTTCCTCTGGCTTTCCCAAAAGCAACGTGTGAGCTTAGCATCTACAACAATAATATTTTTGAAAGACACATAACGCAATTATATGATATACGTAACAATAATTTTCATCAAAGTAGACAAATAATTTATTGAAACTGACCGACTATAGATGCATAAAGGAAAATACTTCCCTGGCCGTAAATTCAAAGCTCAACAATAACTAAAAATAGATCCAACTATTAGCTATTTTTACTTCGTAAACATAACTAAAAATCCTTAAAACTTTGTGAGTTCGAAGATTTAGTTACATATTTTTTGTTATTGTTAAAAAGTAACCAAATAGATCCAATTAGAACTAAAAATAGACCCAACCAATAATTCATTTTCAACTCTAAGTGCACTTGAAATTTTACAATTCACATAAAGCTACTAAGCATAAAATCTTTGGTGAGATTGAACTATTTTCCAATGCAACTCCTATATATAAGAATTCACCTCAAAACTTCAAATTCACCTTAACGTAGTGGAAATGTCAGTTTTCTATTTCTATTTAACAACACATTGTTTTTTCCTTTAATAAACTAAGCAAAGTTAAGTATTCCCTCATCTTACTGAAGACAGTTATTTGGACAAAGTAATGCCAATAAGCAGTCATTTGCCTCCAAGTTCTTGTTTCAGTTTTCCAGCTTCAATCATTTTTAGAACTGATAATTTGATAGTCATAGCAAATTTTCCTCTATAAAACCCTGTCACAATGCACAAAGGATTCTTTTAGAGGCTTTCATTTCCTCTATAAAACTATATACATTAAACAATATGCTTATTTGTAGCCTTAATTAGCGCAAAAGGTTTACTTAGCAAAACTTCGGTTTTAACTAAAAATATAGGAAAATGAAGCCACTTTGTGTAAGAGAAGAGATTAAATTAAAATAATTTTTATATTTATGATATATCTCTACTTTGAAGATGGATGAACATGCATACACCAGCTATAGTGAAAAATTACAATAAACAAATTTGATCCGAAAAAGTAAACCCAATAATTAAACTATAGCATGAAAATAGATAGAATAAAATGGGTAAAAATAATCTAGTAACCGAAACTGAAAGTCTGAATAACAACTACCTCATGTATCACTGACCCAATTTCTGTCACATCTTCTTATTCAGTCAACAAAGAACAGACTTGACATTTGCTAAGTTGAATCTCTCTCTTTTTTTGGCTCTCCACGCTTCCTTCCATTCTTTCTCCCTCTCCCTTTTCGTCGTAAAAAATATTTCAAAAATGAAAAAAATCAGATCTCATGAACAGATCTTCTTCCGCCATCCCACCTTTGCTTCCTTTTTCTCTTTCGCTTTCCAAATCTCTAGTTTTCCTACTCTGTTGTTGCATATTTCGGTGTCTTCTTCTCACCCCTCCCATCCCTCCACTTTTAGCCCCATCCATCCTTTTTTTTTTTTAACTCACCTTTCTCTCGACAATTCCATACTGAATCCCTTTCTCTTTCTTCTCTTAGCCTTTCAAAAGTTCTAAGCTCAGAAGTAAGCCTTTATCTCTTTTTTTGGAAATTTTTTTAGAAACCTAAAAGATAATATTTCTTGCATGCAATGTTCTCATACTTGATAAAGAGAAGAACTTCGAGCAAACAGTAGTACCTAAGAAAAAAAAAGTAATTAAAATATATAAATTTGACTATATACTCTCAACAAACAAAAAGCAAACAAAAATCACCTATAAAAAGAAAACACTATAAATGCATGAAAGGAATAAAAAAAACCTAAAAAATAAATCTAAAAGAATTAAGAGATGGAGAAAGAAAAAACAAAATTACAGATTGACAGAATCGACAAAGAAAAGAACGAAGAAACAAAGACTTTCTTATTAAAAATAACAAACCATGGTTAAAAAAATCATAAACAATGATATTTGAGGCAGAGGGTGAAGATGGTGACGTAAAAAGATTTGTTTGTTTTTGTTGCAGAATTGTTGAATTGGGAAGCGTGAAAACTAATCATATCAGATGAAGTTTTTGGAGCTTTTTTAAGTCCAACATTAACCCTGAATTGTTTCTTTTACATTGCTAAATTGTCCCTTTAATACAAAACGGCGATAACTTTTATATTAAGTTATAGGTATATAAGATTTTCATACTTTATATATAAAAGATAAATCTGAACTCACAAAGGTTTCATTTGGAATCAAAAGCTATTGTAGTGAAGCATGATTAAAATCTTCAATTGCATCGTTTCAATGTTTGGATAATCATTTTATAGTACGGTGATATTTTTATTGTATATTATGGTGTTAGAGGTCTTTTTAGATCTAAAGAGCAAAAAGATCAAGTTTTTCATTAGAAAAACTCCTAAGATAATTATATATATTTTAAAATTTTTAATCGAATTGACCTGAATTCACAAGCTTATATAAGCATAACCACATCATCAATCTAGCTAGATCCTTTGGACACTAACTTGTCATGCTTTAAGAGAATGGTCAACATCCATATTAGTTCGAACCTACTAAATCATCCTAGCACTAAGGTTGCCCAAAACATCCATCTTATAGGTATAAATAGTACAATTCAAGTGCCATTTTCCATCTTGCTTTTTCTACTCACTTATTATCTCCTCCTATTTCTTTACTTGATTGATTTCTGATTTGAGTGTTAGAACATAAACATTAAAATCACTATAGCCTTTGTTTTTAATCACTTTCTTTCTCTCTCTTATGATTTCAAGATTTTGGTCCTTAAGGATAACTTAGCATAAACATATGGATAGAATAAGATAAGATAGGATAGGATGATTATCATCTAATCTTATATTTAATCTACACATAAGAGAAAGGATTGGATAGCAACAAGGAATAGTCGTTCTTTTAGTATAAAATGACTCGATTCACTGTAAAAAAAAATAAATATTTTAAAGAGAAATTATCAAATATATTGATAGTATAATTTTTTTAATTTCATAAGCGGGATTAAGATAGTGACATGCATATATTTAAAAAATAAAAATGTTAATTTAAAAAAAATGGGATATGTATCATCATTTTAACCTCACTTGTAGAGTTAAAAAATACCACTATTAGTATATCAAATAATTTTTTCTATTTTTAATCTTATGAAATTAGATAATAAATGCTTATAAATTACTTATTTTACTTCTAAAACTTGCTTTTAAAATTTGATTTAAATAATTAATAAGGTGACAAATGTCATTATTTAATTGTGAATCAAAATTTTTTTTTAATTTTTTCTTCTTTTTCTTTATTTAATTTTTCTCTCTTTTTCTTTTTCTTTTATTTTTTCCTCTTCTTTCATTTTTTGGCTTTTCCCCATTTTTCTTTATTTTTTCTTTCGAATAAAAAAAATAGTTTTGATAAAAACTTATTTTTTGAAAAGTAATTTACATTCTTGGAAATAATCAAAATTTTAATTATTTTTAAAAAACTAAATTTAACTCTTAACTATAAAAATTATTCTAAATTAAATATTTTGTTAATAAATTTTGAATTATTAAATTTAAATAGAAAAAAAAGTTTTTTCTTATTTTTCTCTTTTCATTTTTCCTTTTTTGTCTTCTTTTTCCTCTCTTTTGTCTTTTGTTTTTTTCCCTTTTCCTTTTGCCGTGAGGGAGAATAAAAAAAAAAAAAAAAAAAAAAATAGATAAAATTATAATTTTGATAATTATTTTTGGAAAAACTCAATTATTTTTTAAAATTATTTTTGCTCTCAATCATATAAATTATTTTAAATTTAAATTATACAAAGAAGAAAAGCAATGAAAAAGAAAGAAAATAAAAGGAAAATAATAAAAAATATTTTAGATAAAAAATAAATTTAAGTTTTAATAAAAGATAATTTTTTAAAAAATTAAATTTAGCTCTTATCTATAGAAGTTATCATAAAATATCTATTTTTTGATTAAAAATTTTTAGAATCACATTTATATAAAAAATTATAAATTTAAATTATTAGTACTTTAAAAGAGTAATTTTAATTAATAAAAAAACCATTTTATCTTCATCTTAGGCTTTACTCGGTAAAGTGAAAAAAAATAGAGAAATGAAAAATTGGAGGGAAAAGTAGAAAGATAGAAAACATGTTATTTCTTTCCATATATGTGCTTGATAAGAAAGTGGATGGAAAATATCTTTTCTTAATTAGTAGAGTTGAAAAGTGAGAGCAACGAAAATAAAATAAAAAAACAATCATCTTACCCCTCATAAAAATATTTATGAAGAATTGTGCTTGGAGTTCCCTCCCCTACCCCCTCTCGTCAATCCCACGCACCGCTTATCCTTTCACTTTTCTTGTCCTTTCACTTTTCAACTGCAACAGACATCATTTTAGTCTTACATATAACAAACATGATGAGATAAAAATCATTTTATTATAATTTTAATTTTTATACATATTAAATATATGATAAAATAATATAATATAATTTATAATCTTATATTATCTTATTCTATCTTAAAATGTACACCAAACACACTCAAAAAGTAATAAAATTTAAAATCAAACTACATGTTAATTTTTAATTAAAAATAATCTATTCAGGTAATAATACTTTTCATTAATGAAAAAACAATACATTCAGACATGAACATTCCATTTATATTATTCTAACTTCTTGTCAGTTTCTTGTTGCAATTTAATTTAAATTTTACTACTAGTAGGTATTACTCTATCTATCCCAAAATATTATTTTTTATTGACATTTTTGGTCAAATTAACTCAATTTTGATTATTATTTTTAATAAAATAATAAAATAAAAATTTTTCATAAAAATAAAATTTTGTAAACTTTGAATTTTAAAATTTTGAAAACATATTTTTTAAAAATTTTAATTTAATATTATATTTAAAAAATAAAATTAAAGTAGAATTAATTTGACCCAAAAAATTCAACAGGAGATAATTATTTTAGGACAGAGAGTATTTATTTACAAAACCATCTCAAATCAAAAGACAAAACGCAAACATATCATTAAACCAACCAAAAACCTAGGCAAGAGTCAAAACGCCCAACAAATTCCAGCGCAGTTCCCGGCATTCGTCACCAGGGAAATGCCAGGGCCAGGTCCGCACCTCATGTATGCGATGAGCTCTGGCGTAGCTCTGACCCACCTCACCAAGGGGCGTTTCTCCCCTCACCACACCCTTACTTACACTCTCAACGCCTTCTTTGGCCCTGACATAGGCTCCTTCTCAGAGTGGCTAAGCTCTACTTTCTTTGCTGGCTCTTCCTTTGTCTCTTCTTTAGCTGATGCAATCCATCATCCTTTTTATTATGTGTTCATTCTGGGGTTCCCTTTATGCGTTTTCTACTCTTGGGTATCAAGTGTTTCGGTGCGAAGAGGTTTACTTGATTCTGTTTCTGGGGTGAGTTGAGTTTCTTTTATATTGGAGAAAGATTCTTATTTCCTTTTTGAAGCGTTATTTCTTATGGTAGGAAATAGAAAATATATTATTGCTTGTTCTAGCTGGATTTTTGATATTGGATTTGTTGGTTAATTCTTTTTTTTTCTACAGTAGCAAATTTAGTTAAGTTGGATTTTTTGATTGGCTTTATTTTATTGTTTATTGATTGGGAGCATATAGTTGTTTTGGGTCTAATTGAGCTTATTTGAGCTTGAAGTTTTTTCATTCTGCTTTCCTGCTCAAGTTCAATTAGGATATTCCACATAGCTTCTTAAGGTATTTTATCTTCTTTTGCCGACTGGTCTGAAATTTGGCAATCTCAAAGGAATTCCTATCTAAATTGCATCAAGAAAGAAAAAAAAAAGGAGAAAAAAACTGAGACTTTAAAGCAAAATCCTGTTTAAATCATCATACCACAACCCAAATAGTTAACTTTTGTTAATGTTGTTTTCATTTCTAAGACTGGAAAAATTAAACAAAGATATGTTAGTATCCTGCACAACTTAGCTATTAGCTTCACATTTTCCCGTTGCTTTAATATGTAAAGTATACATAGGTAAAGCGAATTGAAATCTAATTCTTGGTGAACTGTTCAGTTGGTTGCTTATGGCACCAATCTTGTAATAATTGTGATTGGCCAATGTTTCAGATTGATGGCAATGGTGCTCAATATCAAATTAGTTGACTGCCTTTGTTTAAGAACAAGTTGCTCGGTCAATGCTATTTGATTCAGTTGCCAATGCTAGGTCTTGTTCTGTGTGGATTTTATTTTGCAGGTGCCACTTTCAAGGAGTCAGTGCTTATTGTTGATGTCAGCGGGTTCTTTGTCACACTTTTTCCTTGACCACTTGTTTGAGGTAAAATTTAAAAATTTTGTTTCCAATTCATGTGGCTAAGTTTGTTCGATTTATTTTTTCTGTGTAATTAGCATGTAAGGGTGATGATGCAAAATGATGCTAGAAATTGGTGCAAAACGAGGAAATTGATGTTTGAGATAGAACTTATTTGCTAAGCTTCAAGAATGATGAAAACTGTAAGAGATTCATGGTTGATGATTCTTTTTTGGAGGGTACAAGGCTAATTATTTTTGTATTGAGAGATGGAATTGCTGAAATTACTATGTTTTGAGGGCTAGCTATGATTGCATGGGTTTATGACTTGACTATTGAGTGCTAAATGGGAAGAAACTGTTGAGACAGAGTGAGAAGGAAACGATAGTAAATAAATTTTTTAGTGCTTAATATGGAAACACGGCTCAAATCATCCTTTCCCATATCTAACCAAATGACAGGTTTGGAGAGAACAGAGACTATACATCCATTATCAAGTTTCTAGAATGTTAAAATGTTGAACACTATAGTATATAAACAAATACATGAACATGGTCATTGAATATTACTTTAGGTGGGGGCCAAAATACTTTAGGATGTAGAATTCTGTTTCATTATATGACTGCCATGATGAACTTATTAGGCATAAAAGCTATGTTCGTGACAAAATTCTGATTCAATGGCTCATTAGAGATGGTGTAACGTGTTCTCTTGGTAGGCACAATAATGTGCAGGGTGGTAAGAAATTTGATCTATGGAATGGAAGTGTGTAAATACTCAAACAAAGAGCTAGAATATTATTGTTAAGATTTCATCAGGAAGATAAATGCCTGTTCATTGCTTATTCATGAATTTCTGCTTCTAAAGGCATGCTCATTTCACTTTGCAGTTTATATCTCTTGTAAGTTTTTGTATAGATATCAGATTAGTAGACAATCCAAGAACATGAAGAACATTTTTAAGAACAAACGAGGGATTAATTTGAACATCACCTAATCCTGCCATTATAGTAAGTGAACCATTTGCAGCAACAATTTTCTTATTACTAGGACACAGGGTATATGTACTAAACTTATGTGAGGAATGTGTCATATGGTATGTGGCTCCTAAGTCAATGAGCCAAGAACTCGTAATAGGCTTAACTGAGGCATTTAATCCATGAGAACCAGAAGCTTTACCTGAACTAGAGACCTTACCCAAGGAATATACCCCAGTAGGCTTTTCAAGGGTTTTCAATAGGCTTCTCAGCTTTTCAATCTTTTCTTTGTCCAAATCTCCTTGTTTTCGAGATATTTGTAGTACTTCGGTGATTTTTTCAATTGACACTTCCTCAAATTGGGTGGTAGTGATATCGTTCTTTGAACTGAAACAAGTCTTAAGATAAAATCAGAAATGACTCTTAGCAATGAAGGCTAAAGAAGGGAAAAATAAAATGGCTATGAAGGCCTTAACAGGGTTTGGCAATGAAGGCCTAAAATAGAAGTAAGCAATGAAGGCTGAAAATTTCGCTTCCCAAGAAGAGCCTAAAGCTCTGATACCATTTGAAAAAATTAAGAAATGAAACTGTATGAAAAACTAAGAGAAAAAACTCAATGTATATTAAAAAACTGCTCATTAAGAATTATACAAGCACCTTAGGTATATGTACAACTAATTAGGGTTTAAACTAGGAAACTAAATCTTCCTAAAAACTGATCCTATAATTGAAGGATTGTCTATCATAATTTTTTAATTTTTTGTCCTTAATTCTAGGGATACAAACACTTAATTCTAGAGATATAAATATAAATATACAGATTATAAGATTACAACCAGCTGTAAATAAGTGTTTCCCACACAGGGATAAAATGCAAAATGGACATTGGGGCTAAGGTTGGTTAAGGAACAGTTTGGACTTTGGAAGAAGTCATAAAATATGAATTAAGTCAGGAGAAGGGGAGTTAGAATACTTCTTTTCATGGTTGTTCCATCTTGAAATAGTTAGATATTAGTATTTTATTTGATCGTTTACCTAGCAATTAATGCTTTCATGAGCATGCTTTCATTTGTTTATCTGGTAGCTTCTTTGAGATGAATTACTGCAAATTCTATGTTCTAGCATTTGCCATTGGGCATATATCATACAATGCTGCTATGTAAAATGGTGAGATGATCAAGAAGAGTTGGCTGCCATCTTGTCATATTGCTGGTTTACCATGCAAGATGTCATCTAGTTTGGCCACATTACCAATATTCAGATTCAAAAAATGTTAAGAGGCCTTGTTATTTGAATTATGCTGAGTGACGTGAAGATACCTTGTTAAAACAGTCTAAAATGTGGATGTCAGGTTTCTTATCTGATCCTTCTCTGGACTAACATTGTTAATTATTGAATAGTAGTGAAGGTAGGGCAAGAAGAAAATACAAGTAATTAGGGTATAGATTTTCTCTTACAACCAAACAACAAACTAAACCTTTTCCAACTAGGAAGTTTCCCCGTAATAATATTAATTAATCTAACCCTTGGAAGGGGTTAAAGTTTCATGTCTTTGGTTTTGCTGCATTGAATGTCTTATCTTATTTAATCTTCGACATTTCTTTTGCACAAGTTTATAGACCTTATGCAAATATAAACATACAGGAAAATGGACACTCATCCATGTATACGTGGATATTGAGCACTGGTTGGTGGATAAACCGTGCACCTGTCAACCCAGATGCTGTCATTGTTGTTGGATTGTTATGCACTTGTTTAATTGGTGGCTTCCTTTACATCAACAGGTGCTTGTTTATCAAATTTTATATGTTTGTTTGATCTTATTATTTCAGCTTTGTGTATGGTCCTCATAAACTGGTATTGTACTGCTATCCTGTTTGCAGAGCAAGGTTGACAAAGTCCACCAGAAAACAATCATATCAATCCATGAAACTTATTTTGATTATAGCTAGCCTCTACTGCTTGTGGTGTGCAAGCCAAATATATTGGGTGAATCCTCGTCGGCCTGCAGTTGGTGAAGAAGCTGATCTTGGAGTCCTCCTATTTATGGCCACATATTTTTTTCTTCCTCACTGTCTCTGTATTTTGTCCATGAACTCTGAGGATCTTCGTACAGAGCAGCTCCCTCTTTAGTTGTATTATCAGCATTGAGAAAGGTGATCATTGCTGCTCCCCTGCCAATTAGATATACTTACTATGTATAGAGAAAGTTTACAGATTGTTCAACACTGCATCCTGTTAGGCAGCATCATATTGCCTTGTGGAATGGTACCACTAGATTGTAATGTGTTGTGGTTAAATTGTTCGTTGCTTCTTGTTTTCCTGTAAGAGGGAAATTTTGTATGTGGAAATAGTGTACAGACTCTTCATACGAGTCTGATACAGAAAGCCATAGCTTCTGCCATTGTGAGCACATATTTTCTTTGGCATATATGACTATAGTAACAATTACTTTGCATTAAGGAAAATTTCTAATAATACTGGTGCGTTCATTGATTTAGCATATATTATGCTAAAAAAATTGGATTCTGCCTCGAGAAACTGCAATTGCTGATGGTTCTGTGATGATGAGAAATATCACAGAATTGAACATATTCAAATCAACAACAGATACAGGATCAAGTCGTATTTTATGAGTATGTCAGAAATCCAACTTTGGTAAGAATTAGTCCCCGTAACAATATATAAATATTGTTATTTATTTAATTTTATATTTATATATGTATATATATTAATAAAATTATTATTTAATATTTTAATTTAAAATATTAATTTAATAAAATTATTATATTTATATATAAGTGAGATATTATTTAATTTAAAAATTAATATTTTTATAAATATAATATTATATTAAAATTATTAAATTAATTTCAAATCAAACACGAATTATATAAATAAGGTCGGAGTTGAATATAAAATTATAATTCAATATCAAATTAGGTAAATGCCAAATATAATTTTTTTTAAATTTGATCGAAGTTGTAACGAACGAAAATCTTTTCTTATTTGACTCGTCATCATCCCAACGTGGGATTCATATCCATGTACAAGATATCATTATTTTTATCAATAATGAATCATAATTTTATTCAACAAAAAATATTTTATATGTTAACAATGCATCGATAATTATATACCAATCAAATATAAAAATACATAAATAATTATATATCAATCAAATTTTAGTACATAATCAATATAAGATTCAAAGTTTTTCTTTTAAAATAAAAAAAAAATCTTTTATCCAACTAGAGTTCATTATCTTCAATAGTACATTACTAATACTCATCTCCAATGCTATATCAAATGTCACTGTTTATATTAATTTATAAATATTATTTTTTCTGTCTCATTTTGTATATCTTTATTGATTTTTTTAGTCAAATGAATTCAATTTTAATTATTTTTTTAAAAAAAATTATTTTAAATTAAAAAATTTTATAAACATAATTTGAAAATTTTGAAATTCAAACTTTACAAATCTTAATTTTAAATTTTTTTTAATTTTATGATTTTAATAAAACTGATGATCAAAGTTGAATTGATCTGATAAACAAAAAAATAAATCTTAAAATTTTATTTTAACTTATTAAATCTTAAAATTTTATCTAAAAAAATAATTTAAAAAATGTACCAACATTACTATAGTACACAATGTGATTTATGACTACTCCTAATATTAAGAATATGCGTTGGACCTCACACGATAAACTCTACCTATATGTCAACTTCAGGGGTGATTAATGTCCACATTATTATCTCGTTTGCTCCTCTTCATCAATTGTTTAAGGAAAATTATTTAAGTAATAAATTTCCTAAAGTACAAAAGGAAAAAAGGTTTATAACAAACCATGCAGTAATTGCCATGGGAAAAGAACAGAATGGAGCTTTGGCATTCACAAAAATTGAATAGTTCTGCGACCATTTTAATCAATTTCAGTACTTAAACAACTCGTTTCAAAGCTTAACTTGGGTGCATGAGAGATTATTCAATTATTAAAATGAAAACTGGAAATAATGGCAAAGGCCAAGCTGATCAGATTTTTGAACCAATCACCTTCATAGTGAAAGATGGTAGACAGAATGCCGCAGCATGAATCTGCAATAATAAGGAAAAAAAAAGAATAAATGAATTAATTCATTAGGGCAAAAAAAAAAAGATGGAGCAGTGAAGAACACTGGGTGGGACTTACGTCAGAGTTGTAAAACTTGGGTGGTCCTTTTGCTACACCAAAATTTTCTGGATTTAAAGGATTTATTGGGTGTTTGAAGTCTACAGCTGGCCCTTCAGTGGAGCAAAGCATGAATCCGATTACCCCACTGAAAAAGAAATTTGACAAATGAATCCACACTCACAATTAATTTATATACTCATTATTAAGAATTTTTCAGGACAAAAAAATTATAAAAACAGTTGTGGGTTTGCAAATTAAAGTTCATGCCTAGGATATGCAGGAACAGTTGTCCAAGCATAATTGACAGATCCTTTGAATACTTTGCTACAATTTGCCATCGTATGCGCGAGGTTGAAATCTTTCTGCCACGGACCATCTGCTGGGCATGACATGACTCCCCCAGGGCGAAGAGCCTTTGCCACTGCTTCCAGGAAGCGTTTATCCCCGAGTTCTACTGCAACGGGCCCTGTATATTAGAATAAGATAATTAAGAATGTTTAGCTTGAGTAGAGTATATTGAAAGCAGTATTTTGAATATAGACCAGTTTTGGGGAACAAGACCTAGCAGTTTAAACCAATTATAGGTAATATATATATATATATATATATATATGGAAATACTTAGTATAAAATGAGAAAATGAGAGATACCCATCTCCTGGAATGCGTCCAATATAATGACGTCATATGTGGCTGGAGGAACAGACTTGATGAATTCGACACCTGCAAATTTTATTTTGAAAGAAGTAAGAAAACTAGAAAATCACTCCAAGAAGCTACAAAACCAAACAAAATTTTCAATTATGGTCAAACAAGAGCAAGCTATACAAACTGCCAAGTTGCATACCATTGCCTATATGTACATTCACCCTGGGATCCTCGTATCCAACTGCTATATCGGGAAAGAATTTTTTGTAAACCTGAAACAGTTGAGGAATTCACAAAAACGTCCATTATTTCACTTTTCAAGCTCGACTTGATCACTTAATTAATAGTAGTTCAAAATGGCTTCGGAGCCTGCAAAACATGGTAAGATGAACTTCGGTTTACTCACGTCGATCACCATTTTGTCAAGTTCACAAATATCTATCTGCTCAACGGAAGGATGACGGGATAGTTCTCGTAGAATACCACCATCTCCTCCCCCAATAAGTAGAACCTAAAAGGGGATGGAAATTGAAGTTTTAGTTTCAGTTGCAAGTCATGCCTGAGCTTTTTGTTGGAAGCCTGTAGACAGCTTTTTAAAGAATTCAGCAAAAAAAAAAGAAAAAGAAAACATTGGTCTTTGTGGGGAACCTTCTTTGGATTTGGAATGGAGCAAAGAGGAAGGTGAGTGAGCATTTCTTGGTAAGCAAATTCATCCCGCTCGGTGAGTTGAAGAGATCCATCGAGGATGACAATCTTGCCATGTTCTGGCGACTACATACAAAGAAAACATTTGTAAAGAATTACCAGCAACATGAGTACTAATCTGGTTTGTTTATTTTTGGAAACTTTCTTTTTCTCTGTGATTTCATTTCATAGTACCTGAAATACCAAAAGTTCCTGGTATTCTGACTTTCCATGAAACAAGATCTTTTCTATTTTGTAGAATTTGGCCTCCCCTGCATGCAAAGTAAAAGCCCTTTAAATTAACAACTGCTTGGGTCATATATCAGCAACTAAATCTCAACTACTTCTATAGTTCTATTCACCAGTCACTAGCTAGTCTATCGATAGAGTCAATTTGTAAATGGGTAGGAAAACAGCAACACATTCAACGTATAAAAACAAAAGCTGAAATGATACACAATAGACACTATAGGGCTGAAAATGATGTAGTACATATGTGATGAAATTTCATTATAAAATCTAACTGGAGATTTTGGTTTTTACAGTTCATAACAAGGGGCTTTTCAGATTATTATGTTTCAACATGTATACCTTCACGTGCTGAATAGTTGAAATACAAAAAGTAGGCATTGGGACCAAATATTAAAAAATAAATATACCTGGCCATTCTTCGAGAACATTAGCATACCATCCAGGTATTTGAACAGATGCACCAGCAATTAATTTATAGTGTATCTCAAGATCATCATCATCAGCAGCTGCTGAGGACTTGATGGTCTTATATTCACTCACAAAACTATCTGCAACCACTTCCTTCACGTGTAAATTGGTGGATACGTCAACCAAAGCGAAACCATTTTCTGTTTGCATAATCAATCCTTCCTTACTGAACTCTAATTTTGCAATGTCAGAGATCTCTTACTCAATGTGCTAGCTGTTGCAAGCCGCGTCTTGCATGAGGGTATTAAATAGGCCAATCTCCAAGATATTTTTTTGGCACCAGCTGAACATGCAAGTTGGCACTTCTGCTTGAAGCAAAGTTTAAACAAGTTTTTCAGATAAATTTTGTAAAATTCTTTACTAAAAATACCTAATCAAAATATTAATAAAAATTTCAAACTGATAGATTAATAGGACTAAATAAATAGATTAATAATATATAAAAAATAATTAAAAATAATATTTATAATTTAAATTTAATTAATTTTTACTTAACAGTAAAAATTTTATCAAAATTTTTAATAAAAAAATATCAAAATTCTATATATATATTTATATTAAAACATTTACAAATTTAATTTATATAATAAAAATTTTTTAAATTCAATTTTAATTTAATAATTTTAACAAATTTCACAATCTTTATCTAAAAACATTAATGTATTTGTCTTTTTCTCTGAATGAACACAGGCCAGTGAATTTGCAACTTGCCGGCCTATTTTGGGGTCTGAATCTTTTGTTCCCAGATACTTTTGAATCGGTATATCAATGTGTGTCCAATACTGTCCCTGCGGTCCCGATTACGTAACGTGATTTGCTTTGAAAAGGTTACGTCAATAGTAACTTTCATTACTGCTTTATTATCTCAATAATGGACTGACATGACAGCCCTGGCCCGCTCTTTTATTTTGTGGCATTGGTAGTAAAACATTAAAAAAATTTTACCACTCTCCTAGTGATCAAATCAAGTTCATTTTTACCAATCAACCAGATTCTGGAGATTGTATGGACATGCTTCTTCTGCTTAGTCAATATATATTTTTTCTCCATTCCACATGGGTTAATTTCAATGGCTGACAAAAAGAAAAAAAAATTGTTTTAAATGAAGCATTGGAGCCCGTACTGTCATTACACCAAATAATGCCGACTGCCAGAAAAGCTAAAAAGTTGGAGCTGAAACAGGTAAGAGGCGCTTGGGGGTCCCTGGTTGGTTGCTGAAGATTAAATGCAATAATGCCCATTGGTCGATCAGAATGTTTGAAACTTAACTCTAGGGGCAGGTACTGAAGCCAGCTAGACTATTTCTCGTCTTTATTTGATTTAATTGAAGTTTAAGGCAAAATCTTTGATTTTATTGTATTTTATATTAAAATTTTATTTTATTAATTTTCATGAAATTGATATATAAAAAATTTAAATATTAAAAATAAAAATCACAAAAATTATTTTTAAAATATAAAAAGAATTGGACACTAAAAAAAATAAATTTTAAGACATAAAAATGAAAAAAAATTGGAGGAAGAAATATTTGTTTAATTTTTAAACATTATATATATAAATAAATTCATCTATTTTTAATTAAAAAAATTTTAAATAAACTTTTCTTATACTTCATCTCTATCTCTTTTACTCGCGTTATTTTCTTCGAACACCATTAAGTAATAACCCTATTGTTGTTCTTTGAAAGATAAATAAAAGATTAAAAAAAAAGAAAATACAATTAAAACTTTTTGTAACTCATCTATTATATTAATTAACTTTTAAAATATTAAATTATAAATTTAAATAAACTGAATATAAATTAACTTTAACGGATGTTTGAAATCAAACTTTGAACAAACATTTTCAAATATTAATAAAACCTACCTAAATTCAACCCACTTACATTTTTAGTATCATCGTTAACATGATTAATAATACAATATATGTTTGGTACATAAATATGTTTTTTATTGGTTTGTGTCAATACCTTTGCTATATAACAGTCAAATTCATATGAAATTTACATTAACGTTAAAGCAGGTAAGCGAGAATGATGGTATGCTGATAAGATGTTGAATTTTTAATTTTAATGATTAAAGTTCAAATATAGACAATCTTGAATATTAAAAGAAGAGAGTGATGTGTTGGGAATGGACAGGAACGTGAATTAAATATTATATATCTATGAAAGGCCAGAAATACACCGACGAAATTAAGACAGGAAATGAGCTGCGTTATCCTAACAGACAGGTTGGCCAAAATATTTATCATGTTTTTCGTTTTCATTTGGAAAGAGGTTAGAGACCCGACCGTGCATTTTCATTCCAAAAAGCAGGTCACTCTTTTCTGAAGCCAGAAGAATGAAATCCATGTTGTCTAAGCCCTATCCCACTAAAGATATCACAATTACTTGTCTGTTTCATGTCTCATCTATGCATTTCTAAAGAGATATTCAATTCATTTTGTTTTTCATTTTAGGTTAGAGTTGCTAGCCGTCGAAGAGGTTGTTCATGATGAATAATTAATTATTTCAATTCAAAGTTTTAAGTTGATGAAAAATATGATTTTTTTATTTTAATGTAACAGATGGCATTTTACTATTTTAGGTCCTAATTAATGCTCCGTTTATTTCATTGAAATAACTTTTTTTTTTTTCAAAATTTTGAGTGTTTATTTCATGAAAAATAACTTGACCAAAGGAAAAATTGTCACGTGTCAACGGAAAATCAAGACATTTATCTTTTTCTTTTCAAAAGGGCAGTCAATTTACTCAATTTGGAAAGAGAAAAGACCTACCTCCTTCTACCTTTAGTCCTGAAACGCTAACTTGCCATCGCTGTCATTTCTTATATTTATGGCGACACTCCCGCCTTTTTGTTCTCCTTTTTAGGTCTTAACTTTTTTTTTTTTTTTATCTTCATATTGTTTAGGCTCTAGCTTATTTCGTCCCTTTGAAGTTCCTAATTTTATTTATTTATTCATTTATTTATTTTTTTCATCCCTTATTTAAAAAGTTAGAATCTTGAAAAGCCATGAAAATGTAAAGATTGAACTTTTACCTGTTTATAATTAAAACTCATTTTGTTATCTGGCTTTTTTTTTTTTTTTTGGTTCAGTAAATGTTAAAACTTAAAATTGGGGTTTTCATTATTTTTTAAAATTTAAAAAGCCATAAGCAAATCAATATCCTGAAGTTGATTCATTGCCAGATGGCTTTTAAAATTTTGATTAATTGGTATTCTGGCAGAAATCAATTTAAACGAGGAGTTGATCAACAGCTTAGGTTGCAAATAAAATACATAGATATATCATCACTCCCACTGCTAAACAATGATCTTGGATTGCTAATGCATTTCAGTGCTTGCATGAAAATACTTTCGGTTTGCTTCACCTGATTAAAATGATACGTTACCTCATCATCTTTCATTTCTTTACATATTTTTTTTTTATCAACACAAGTTTTTGATTTGGATACGAGTTTTGTTCCTAATATATTATTATGTGGTATGATTTGTACTATCTTTATGATTCATGATTAATTAGGAGGGTCTTGTTAATCTTAGAATGATTTTGCATAAAATGCATAAGGAGTCACAAAAAAATTTTGGGCCTACCACTATGTTAATGGCAAGCAACAAGAAACTTAAAAATCGTCCAGAAGAAACTTTGATATTCAAACAATTACAAATTTCGACTTTTGGTTTGATTACATTATTATTATTATTGGAAGCCCGAAAATTTTCACTTTAGTAATATAGGTTTTCACAAGGTTTCGTACACTTGAAAATATTTTTGGACATTGAATTTTTTTTGAATATGATACTTACGTGTAAAAATTAATTTTGAAATCATTTAGAGAACTTTGACTTAAACAGGTTTCAAGCTCGTAGCTTAATTTGTTTGCAGGAGTAAAATACCATTGTGTATTAATTTAAATATTAAAAAAATATATAATAATAAAAGAGTTGTATCCATATTTTTTTGTGAGTTTCATTAGCTTAGATTGTACGTTATCATAAGGTTGAAGTTATAATACAACCATAATATATATAAATTATGTTTAAGATGAGCCATACATTTAAATTGGTATAAGCAATAAACTATCTATATTTAATTTAGTCATGCAACAACATATGTTGGAGCATTTTAGAAGTTTTATAAAAGAAAATCAAAACTGTTACATGTTAAACTTCACCAAGGGTGAGAAATATTGGTGCAACCCTTTACTGATTTATTGACTTTATCAAGTTTTTGCATAAACAACTCTCCAGGCACCACTGCTCTGCGCTCTACAGAAGAATGATGCAGTGAAGCTGTCAACTGAATAACATATGCAAGTGCAACAATAATTGGTAAAGCATAAATCTAGCTGGGGGAAAAAGGGTCAAATACTAACTAAAATAGCACCCATTGCGATTTTCATTCGATAGAACATGTTCTACAAGCATCTTTGTGTTTGTTCTTTGGAGGCTTTGTTTAAACCGTACGTTTAGACCTTCAAAATTCCAATATTTTTTTCACCAAAGGTTTCAACATGTGAACATTTATACTCGTACTTAAATACGACAAAATTTCATTATAGTCCCATAATGAACCACTAATGCCCTTCTTTCTCCCATCGGAAGAAAATCTAAAATCAATCTATTCCAATATGACCTTACATTCTTGATGGCAGAGTTGTAGATTTACAAGTTCAACTTTGCACCAAGTGTAAACTAACTAAATCAGGATATGCTGCATCCTAAATCCACCCGATTTAAACAGGAAGATAGGCTGGCCCAAGCATAGTATCCGATATTTCTCATGCTTACCAAAGAAATGTAGATGATTAGGTGCAAAATTTTGAGGGGGCAAATAGGCAAGGGGGTTAAATTACCTTCCAACTTTTGGCTGGTGATCTTAGGATAGGTTGCCCTTCTGTCAATGATGCCATTCGAGATATAGTTTCCATTTCACCAGTGACAGTAGAAAGTTTCAAACTTTTACCAACATCTTGTATAGCCTTTGCAACTTCTCTTACAGTGACCACTAATAAAAGTGAAAGTCACTTATGATTTTCATTCTCCATGAGGATTCCTACACAACAACAATGAAATTATCTTGCAAGACTTGAAATTATAAAGCCTATCTGATTACACTTTGGGTTCTTTTCACAACAAAGATTTTAGCAAAATTTGCTGCAATCTCAATTATTACTCAAATAATTGGCAAAATATGTTGCTTCTACAAGCATCTGCATAATAATTTTTATGTATATACAAACCCTTTTAAACATGCACACTTTGTCTGTATATGGTATGTTTTAAGACATTGGACTACATGCCCAACACCAAGTTTCAACCATAGAGGGTTGGCCAAGTTGGTAATTCGTAAACACCAATTGATGATATCAATCTCTCATAAAAAAATCTATCATAAATGTTCCTATATTCTAAAAGCACTCTTTCCCCCTTACTCTATTTGACGAAGTTGTCGAGCAATCCACAAATTGTATCTTTTGCATTCTGAATAATTTGAAAGACTCAAATAACTCAAATGGTTTTCACCTCTTCATCCATCGCTACAATAGCTTCATTATTTTCAAGCGTTCTTTGTGTTATGGATCAAGTTTTGATGGGATATAAGAGCTATGAAGATCCTCTACTATGTACTCCAGCAAAAAACCAATGTGAGATTTAATCAGTTTAATCAGTAATAATATGAATAAAGATATAATTATAAGGCTAGCTTTCAATGATAGCTTAGTAAGCTCCCTCTTAGTATGAATGTGGTAGTGTTTTTTGCCAAATTCGCCGTATTGCCATTGTGGCAGCAAGGAAACCATAAGCTATCCCCAAAATAGCAAAGATAACAACAAAAACCACCAGCAGTGCAAAGCATACTTCAATAGATGCAAGAAAGCAATCTAAGATACCCCACCCATAACAGCAATTTTGGCATCCAGCCATGCGTGGATCATTGCCATCGAGACTGTATTGCCATTGTGGCAGCAAGGAAACCATAAGCTATCCCCAAAATAGCAAAAATAACAGCAAAAACCACCGCCAGTGCAAAGCATACTTCCATAGATGCATGAAAGCAATCTTAGATACCCCACCCACAACAGCAATTTTGGCATCTAGCTACGCGAGGATCATTGCTATTGAGAGAGAAGCAATAAAATATGAGCCCAAAAAATCCAAACAACACGAAGAAGGCACGTAACCCTAGAAAACATAGAATACATGATGAGTTTATCATCTAACTACAATTGAAATTG